CTACTGCGCTGAATACCAGACTCGGTGGCTTGAAAATCATACCAGGATGGTGTGCGGGTGTGCCCAAAGTCCTGAGAGGAGACTGGAGAAGCAGTGGTGGTGTGGCCATCTCCTGGGGCTGATTTCTCATTTTGCCTCTCTCTCCCCCTCTCTGTCTCTCTAGTGAGTGCACTTGCCCTATAGCTAAAAATAAACAAACACAAAATGAATAATTTGTAGTTAAGGAAGGTTAATTGAACCCCAAAGACAACAATCATGGCACCAGAAAAACCCAGTATGTTCTTCTTCGGCCAGTATTGCCAGCTGGAGTCTAGCCCCAACTTCTTATTGAAGCCACGTGTACGGCTGAAGATTACTTTCTTGGTTTTATTAGGTTCTTTCTTTCACTTTGGAGGGGTTCTTTCTCCCCCTCTATCGGGGGATATTTGTTACTGGTTTTCTAAAAAGGTTTTTTTTTTTTTTTTTTTTTTTTTTTTTTTTTTAACTATTCCGTTCACTAAACATTTCACAAACGTGGTGAAATATTAGGGGTCCTTTGAAACTGTTAAGAGTTTATTGATAATAAAACCTCTCTAGTCAGAATGATCATTTATTTTGGAGAGTTTTTTTTTTTTTTTTTGCTGCAGGGCGTGTGTGCTTGCCAGAGACAGAGAGAGACAGAGAGAGAGAAAGCGAGAAATCACCCCCCAGAGGGGATGGCCACGCCACAATCCCTTCTCCTCCATTCTCCTCTCGGGAACTTGGGCACGCACGCACACGCGCCCGGCGTGAGTTTAAGCCACCGGGTCCAGGACTTAAACCGTGGTCAGCTACATGGGAGTTCAGCAACAAAGTCATTATGCCAACTGTTGGTCCCAGGATGATCATTTATTTTGAAATATTTTCATCATTCTCATTGTCCTGAAACCTGATTCCCTGGGTACTGGCTATGAAAGCTGTCAGAGGTTTCAATTACAAGTAAAGATGTCTTTCCTCCAGCCACATTTCCAGTGTACTCTGGCTTTAAAAGAAGAAAGAGAAAAAGGTAGGGAATGTGTCTGCCACTGCAAGACCATCTCCCGCCCTCCTTGCCCCTGCCCACCCACGTGCGAGCCGCGGGGCCAAGGTCCTCGACCTCAGATAGGAGCTGTGCCGTCCTACATACTTGAACCGGCTTATCTCCACCTACGGCCTCCTCGCTGTTCCTCTTTCCTCCCAACCTGCAGATGTGCCAGTGCCTTCAGATCAGTTCCAAGTTTTTCAAGTGGTAGTAATTGACCCTGAAGGAAGGTTTCAGACCCTGGAACAGCTGTGTGACCTAGGACGGTAACCTTGTGCTCTGGGTTGGGGGAGAGGCTTATCTTTTTTATGGAGGACCTCTATGATAAGCCCTGGGTCAGGGCAGGGAGGCAGCGGCATGCTGGGAACCGCCCGCTGCCATGGAGTGATGATGGTGCTGCCCCCGCTGAAGCCGGCTCCGTGAAGCCCGAGTCCTTCTGCCTTTTCTTTTCTTTGTTCTAATCCTGACAAGCAAAGTGTATTTTGCCCTTAAGAGAATTATATTTTGGGGCCAGCAGGTGGCGTGGAGGTTAAGGTGCTGGGTCCCACGTGGCCGGCTCCACGGTTTGAGTCCTGGACCTGGTGGCTTGAGGAACACACCAGTGCGTGTGCGTGTGCCCAAAATCCCAAGAGGAGAGTGGAGAACAAGGGACTGCAGTGTGGCCATGGGCCGGGGGAGGGGGTGATTTCTCACTTTCTCTCTTTTTGTCTCTGTCTCCAGCAAGCACACACACCCTATAGCAAATAAATCCAAAAGACAACAAAAAGTACATTTTGAGAACACCGCAGCATTTGAAATCATGCAGACAGGAGTTGTGCTATGGCCTGTCTTGCTTCAGTTGATGGCGATGGTAATAACGTGAGCCACACAGCTGTGACCCCGGGGAGCGAGCGTTTCTTCGACAGTTCAGATGGTCAAGGCACCCTGCCGTTAGTCCTCACGATAACCCTTATTGCCCTCTTTTTATAAATGAAGAAACCGAGGCTCAGAAAGATCGCCTCACTAGCCCAGGGTCACACAGCTAGAAAGTGATGACTTAGAGCCCGCGTCCGACCCCATGCTGTGCTGCCTCGCCAGCGTTACACCCTCCGCACACTCAGATGCTGGTGCGGAAAGGTCTGCTTACCAGGCACCCAGCTTCTAGCTCCTTCAGGCCCGCAGGCCTTTTCGGGCTGGGAGCAGCATTTGGAAGGTACTGATATCATTATCTCCCACTGGTAGGTAGGCCGTTGAGCAGGAAGAATAAGCGTATGGAAAACCCTCTTTCTGGGCGGAAAAAGAGGAGTGGCTACTTCTTTGACCTGGAGTCTCAGAACACTGAGAGGAGGACCTACAATGGGCATGAATGCCTGGAAGCAGCAACTGCGTGGCTGACCTTCCAGGCTCCTTCCAGCTACTCTGCCTTCAAGGGAGCCCAGAGCCAGGCAGGTCTCATTTTGAAAAGATAGAAGCTGAAGGCCAGAGAGGTTTAGGCCACCACCAGGTGTCACTTCAATAAAGAGGATGATCCACAAGACTATCAATTTTTCTTTTCCTTTCCTTTATTTATTATTATTTTTTTAGAGGTTTTGCAATAGGGTGCCCACGCTCACCAGAGAAACAGAGACAGAAAGCAAGAAATCACCCCCAGGGGGGATGGCCACGCCACAATCCCTTCTCCTCCATTCTCCTCTCAGGATCTTGGGCATTCATGCACACGTGCCCAGCATGAGTTTAAGACACCGGGTCTGGGACTTGAACTGCGGTCTCCAGCAACATAGCCATCATGCCATCTGCGGGTCCCGTGAGACTATAAATTTTTGAATGTAGAGTCTGTGTCTGTCTTGTACACTCTTCTGTTGGTCATCGGAAAAGTCATGATGTAGTTTTCTGTTTTTCTACGCAAAAATAAGTCATGATTTTTCCAATGATCATATATTTTCAGTAACCAGCAATAAAATGTAGAGTGTAGCTTTAGTTAATTCATCATTTTTTAATTTTTATTTTTAGGTTTCTGCCATACGGCATGTGTACTCGCTATAGAGAGATGGAGAGAAATGGAGAGAGACAGAGAGGGAAAGTGAGAAATTACCTCCCCTGGGGGGGGGTGGCCATGCCTTAATCGCCTTAAT